TTAGGAGCCGGCGGTCCCGGATTGCGAGAGGGACATCCCCCAAGGGCTCCAGAATTGGAGAGGGTGCAGGTCGGACTGAGGGACCTCCCCGCTCGCCATCCCCCTCCCCCCTTGCGCGTTTATATAGGATTGCCAGCATTTGGAGAGGCCAATTCTCAGTTTGAATGAAACATTTTTCAAGCCATTATTGATTCTACAGATCATGTTTTTATGTTTTGGGGGTAACATTCAACATTCTAAATTGATACTTTAATTAATCAACTATTTGTTGAAATTCAAAATCTCAAAGATCTGTTTAACTGACTTTGCATGATACCAAAACTTGACTAAAAATTTCATTACAATAATCAACTAGTGGTCGGCATCATTCAACATGTTTTTATAATATAATTCTATTTTTTTACTTGCATGTCTCTAGAAACATGGAACCTCTGAAAATCCAACAATGCAATCATCATGTACACATAAAACTTACATTGGAAAAATTGTTATAACCATAAATTGAGTATAGATAGCAGTCAGTATCATGGACAGCATCTGATGTTACCATATTTGTCAATATTGGTGTCACACAGAAAGACCCACATAATCTGAGGAGACTAATTAACTTATTTTTTATAGCTCAAAAGGACAACTGTTAGTAACAACCTTGATGCTTAATGACAATCAGCCTTAATAGATATGTTAAAATGAGACCAGAAGTAGCCTAATATTTACCATAAGCTGATAATTTCTTATTCATTAGTCCTCCTCTCCCCTCTCCCCTCCCACCCATTTTGGGGGGGGTAGTAAAACCATAACATTATTATAGAAATTATTGTTGAACTCACGGGTCATTAGTCTTTGGAATAAGAGTGCCAAGCTCCTTGATTCTGTAATTAATATTATACCGTCTTCTTCTTTCAACTATTAAAACAAAATTATTTATTATTCTCATTAAAATACAATTCACTTTTGAATAGCTGTAAAGTTTCTTAATAATTTTAAAAACAATACATGATAATTTCCATTTAGTTAAAAGACTATTTCTTAGAAATAAAATAAAATTTTAAATATATTTTATTCTGAATTTGAAAACAATATTAGAATTATATTTCTATTGTACACAATGCTTTAAAAATATGTCCTCCCCAAAACATGTTTTTCGTTCCTTGAAATGCTATATTTACTCATACTGAAATATATATATATTTTTTTCAAATATATATATATTTCACACATATGTATTTGTCAGTCCAAAGAATTATAATCTTTTGATGTCTGCACTGTACCTAACTCTTCTTATATACTTCCGGCCCTAACACAAAGTTTGGCACAGAGTAGCTGCATGTGCCCAACTAGACTATGACCTCCTGAGGGCAGAGACAATTTCTTTCTCATTTTTATAACCATAGAGTGCTTGGCATATAAGAGGAGCTAAATAAATCTATAGTGATTAGACTGTAAATATATTTTTCTAATTTAAATTTTCTCAATAATATATAGAGCAGTGATTTTCAAACTTTGATGTGCATCAGACATACTTGGGAATATTGTTAAAATAGATTTGTGCCCCACATGTAGAGATTCTGATTTTACTAGGTCACGGCTGGGCCCATGAATTTCCATTTGTAACCAGCTTCTGGGTCATGCTGTTTGTCTAGGGCCCACACTTTGACAACTGCTGGTATGGGTTCTTATTCAAAGACTGTCTTCTCTGTTTGAATTTCTATGCATTCATTGCTAATGGAAATTTAGTGCATCTAATAAATGTTCAATAATTTCCAAATATACAAATATGTAGTTTCCTATATTGCCCTCCTCTAAGAGCAGTCATAGAGTAGAGCATAGTCTTATAGTTTGGTACAGGGAACTGAAGACAGAAAAATGTCAGGAAGAAAAAGAAAATCATATATAAAATACTGGAAAATGATTAAACAATACATGTTTGAAAATTAAGATCTGCTACCAGAAACACAGAAAGTCATGAAGTATTATCAATTGTCTTGGTGAACCTACTCTACAAAGCAATTTACCATGAATGGATTTGACCTTCAGGAATAACACATTGAAATTCCTCTGAAATTAGAATATAATTGATTTTTGAGAGAGTTTATTTTCCCTCTTTATCAATATTATTTTTCCTGTACATGTGATTCAAAAAACAATGACATGACATTAAAAAAAAAACACTGAAAAGAAAATAAACAAATGTAAAACTGTTAAAAATATATATATATTTCACAGTGAGAATTTATTAATAATTCTATGTTCACACATACTCACTCCTATATTATAAAAAAGAGTTTTAAACATGAAATGAGTAACAGCTATGAAGGATGTTCCCAATTTTATCTCAGAATAAGGGGGAGGTGGGGTGAGTCCTATAATATTTCTCCAAAATCTATTATTTAAATGCACTGTATGTAAAATATCAAAGATTTCTACTCAATTTAGAGTGTGCTCAATACATGTTTAATGGCCAATTATAATGAGATCTTTAATTTCTCAATGTTTTCATATCAATCCTAGCTACTTTTAAAAGAGTCAAGTTTTAAAAAATTGCTAGGTTATTTCATGCCAGGTCTGGTTTGACTCTTCACAATGTTTTTGTATGTTTGGTCATTCCTGTCCTTAGATGCAGGCAAAAGGGGCCCTATCCACACTTAGGAGGAATCACTTTCGCCTTTTCTCATCACACTCATCCCCACTGGACAAGGCAGCCACAGGGCCAAGTGAACCCCTTCTAAACTACACCACTGAGTACTCTGCAAACACCCTGGGCCCACTTCCAGGGCCTGGGCAGGCCACGTTCCAGGTCCCTCTTCCTGAGGGGGGACTGTGGCATCAGTGTGCTCACCCCTAGGCGCGGGATGTGGACAAGGGGCAGCTGTTTGCAGAGATTTGCATGGAGCTTCCGTGTACTGGATGAGGTGTTCACACTCATGCCTGAGGCCACAGGTAACATAAGAATGAAATATGGGGTGAAGACAGGTGAGATGGGCTGACATCTCCCTGCCCTAACATTCCCACTCAGAACTCTGAGGATCTGAGAATTTTAAATTCACACCTGGCCTTCTAACACTCAGGAAAGATAGAAAAGATTTGATTTGATTTGATTTTTTAGCATTTCTAGCTTTTAAATACTAAGGCATCTGGTAGGTAGAACTTCTGTCTTCCTGACACAATCTTCACAAATTTTAGGAATTGTCCTAGATTCCTTGTATTTAAAATGTGAATTAATGTTTTAACTCTGATATCTCCAAAAAACAAGATTAATCAGTAAGGAAAGCCAGATTAGAAAATACTTCAATAATGGACATACCAGGCACCTATCATACTTTATATTAAATGGCCAGTTGTTTAAGCTGTAGACATAAGAGTGAAGAAGAAAAAAGCAAGGAGAGTAATAATTAGCAGGCTAAAACTAGGAGAGAAGCCCATGATTCTTTCATCTATTAATTATTTCTATCAATAATGAGCTCTCGTTATTCATGTTCTACCTGTCTCATAATCTGGACCAAAGTGGATCTGCTCTGCCACTAAGCGGTATCAGAACCAGATAATTCCCCTCACCACACCTGTCCCAACGACTGTTATAACGTCTTGCCAGCCCATTCTGCAGTCACATAGTCAGCAAACTGAGTACTCTGTGACACAGGCAGGTGCCTATGAACAAACAGATGCAGGCTTGTGCAGAATCCATTCCAGCTAATCACATGTGAGGAAATGCCTGGTTTGTTTTAGAGGACTTATTCTTTTTATTTTATTTTATTCTTGTGAATTGGGTCCCAGAACAAAAAGGCTTCACACTCAATTGGTCAAGCTCAGGTGAGACAGTTAAGTCCTTGAAAGATGGTTGAATTGGGTCCCAGAACAAAAAGGCTTCACACGCAATTGGTCAAGCTCAGGTGAGACAGTTAAGCCCTTGAAAGATGACCAAACACTGCCTAGCTCAGCGTTGCTGCTACGCTGCTTCATTTGCTTGTATTTCTTCATCTCATGGGACCTGTTACCGGAGTTAAACTGGACCCCTTAAAAGGCATCCGAGACATTTTTTTTGGACAGGTGGAATTCAGCAATCCAACGTAAGTAATTCCTTTTCAAATAACCTATCATGAGGAAGGAAAGAGAAGATTGACAGGAAGAAAAGAACCTGGAGTTATGTTTCTTGTTATTTAAACAGTGAACACTTTCTAAAGTCACTTTTAACTTTTTACAGCTTTGAGTCACAACAGAGTTCAAATGTAACTAAATGCACTCATCTCCTTCACACACAGCCTTCTTGAGCTAAAGTGATCAAGTAGAGAATTTGAGATGTCTCACTTTGTTAAGAGTATAGCTTTTCTGAGAGTCCACATCATTTAAATTTCCCCAAATAGCTCAAGTATGAGCATGTACTATCAAGTTTTGTCATATGACCTCAAAAAACTTATGGAGTGACAATGAATCACCACACATTTTACATCCATGCATTTCCTCTTGCATTTCTTAATTTTGTTTGGAAAAAAAGGAAAATATACTCACTGAGGTTGTGGTTGTCCTTTTTTTGTCTCTCTTTAGCCAAAGTTCGAGTATCAGTTTCTGATCAAAAGAAAGATAGTTAAAACAATTCTTAGTTCTACTTCATACCCCTTTAATCAACATAATTCAGGAATACTAGGTAAAAACATAATACTACTTGCTTCAAATGGTATATTTTTATGCAGATATTTAGAAAATGAAGCACAGTACTCTTAGTAGGAGGCAATGGCAAACTCATTAGACTTTGAGTAGTAAAACCTGAATTCGTATTCTGGCCCTCTGTTTAAGAGCCATGTGATCTATTATCTAAATTCTCTGTGTCTCGGGCTCTTCATCTTCAAAACTGGTATAATATTGAGATGATTAAAAGAGGTATAATCCACAGCAAATATTAAACTGCTCAATCATTATTATTTCCAGAACTTTAAGCCTATTCAACTTTTTTCCAACCTAAACTTCTACAACATGCATGTTTCATAAATAATTATGGTTTCTACAATCTAATCTAAGATTTGGAGCTAAGTACATTTTTTATATATTGCTATCAAACAATTCCACCCTTCCAATAAATGACACTGTATATGCTACGTGGTTGTGAGCATTTGTGAAAGCCTCCAACATAGCCCACAAGGATTCTCACTCATGATATTCAGAGATTTGGTAATTCCCTCTCATGTTAATAGGGATTGAGCAGTGAAACCAATAGAATAGTGTGAAAATGGCATGTGGCTACCAAGACTAGGTCATAAAAGACATTTTCAGCTACCAATTTGCTGTGTCTTGGGTCACCACTTGTCGTGTCATGATGACATTTGAGCAGCCCTATGGATCTCCACATTGTAAAATATCAGGATCACTTGCCAAAGAGCAGCACTAATACTCAAGACCTTTGAGCAAACCACCTTGGGAACACATCCTCCAGCCACGCTAGTGTCCGATGTCTATCTCCAGCAAACATCTTGACTGTAGCTTATGAGAAACTCAAAACCAATTTCCTAAGCCATCCCTAGATTTCTGTCCCCATGGAGATTGTATGAGACCATAAGTGTTTATTATTTCAAGCTGCTATGTCTGGGGATAATTTGTTATATAGCAATAGATAATTAATACAGTGTTCCTTGAATTATTTTAGTTTTTAAACTAAGTAATACACAAATACATTTATTTAAATGTGTTCATTTCAAACTATAGTCATTAATTTTAGCTTAAATTATTTGAATACATAGATATTTGTGAGTTATTGATTAGGCCTCCAGAATAGACATATTATATTTACTGAATTGTTAATATTAACAGTGTAAAACTTATTAAAGAACAATGTTTGGGCTCCAAACTAAAAAAAAAAATGTATTACAGAAATGTAGACTGAATTTTATTTTATTCTTTTTTTAATCTTTATTGTTAAAAGTATTATATGTGTCCCCTTTTTTTCCCCACATTGACCTCTTCTAGCCTGCCCCTGTCCCGGGCCTTCACCACCCTATTGACTGTGACAATGGGTTGTGCATATATGCATACAAGTTCTTTGGCTTATCTCTTCCCACCCACCCTCACCACCTTCCCTCTGAGATTCGACAGTCTGTCCCATGCTTCTATGTTTCTGAATCTATTTTGTTCATTAGATTCCACATATGGAGAAACTAACACTGGGCATATAAGCCAAGGAACCCTTGTTTGATCCATTTCTTCTTCTACTCAGCTGGATGATTTTAGGAATATAACTCCTCTAACCACTGGTTTTCTCATCTCTATATTGAAGAAACATGACAATGGTCCTATAATGCCTTTCAACTGTAACGATTTTGAAAAATATTATTTAAAATAGAGGTGTTTTTATCCACTTGAGAAAGTTAAATGTGAGTCTATTAAGAAATTCATAAAACAAGCTAAATGGGAAAATCTAACTACTTATATCAAAGTCTACATATAAAAGTACTAATTTCCCCAATCTATTAATCTATTATTTTTAAGCCATGTTAACAAATTGAATCTATTTAATATCAAAATTAGCCTATATTACATAAAGACCTTTATATTTGTATTTATTGAATTGTAAGTTATACTCTTTAAATGTCCCCCGTTTTAACTGACAAATTTATTAATACTTTTACATTTTTATTTAGCTCGGTAATATATGCCATACCTTTCTTATATAGTTGACTACAAAAGGATAAAACTATAAAGATACATTACCTGTAATTTCTTTTTTCATTGATAAACTCCTTGAACAGGAAGCATTTGTAAGGCCCATATTAACTGATGAAATTCCCTGCTCACCACTATACACATCCAAAATATTTCCAGATAACTTTAGAGTAAAAAGAAAGAAATGATCAATTAAAACTTCTGTGGACATTGGTATATTTAGTTGTGTATTTTAAATTTGCTATTTGAAAATAATTTATAGCATATATTTTAATTTTAAATAATAGTATGAATTTACTTTCAAGTACCTATCCCATGTAATAAAAGCCTAATATGCTAAGTGTCCCATCATTTAGTCGACCATTTAACCAATCAAAGCATAATATGCTAAGGCCCCTTAACCACTTGCTATGACATGCACTCACCACCAGGGGGCAGAGATTTGACCCGTCAACCAGTCACTATGACGTGCATGGGGCAGACGCTCTGACTGGTAGGTTAGCTTGCTGCTGAGGTCTGGTCAATCAGGATTGAGCAAGGCGGGCCAGACATACCATGGAGCCCTCTCATGATCCCTCCACAGCTGGCCAATCTCCTGTGTCCCTCCCCAACCCTGATCGTGCACTGGTGGGGTCCCTCAGCCTGGCCTGCACCCTCTCACAATCTGGGCTGAGGGACACTGGAATTTTGTGCACCGGGCCTCTTGTAAATAATAACCTTAAATGTAAATGGAAGAAATGCTCCAATCAAAAGACAGGGTAGTTGAATGGATAAGAAAGCATGACTATATATATGCTGTGTACAAGAGACCCACCTCAGAAGAAAAGCCTTCACCCAGACTGAAAGTGAAAGGATAGAAAAAATATTCCATGCAATGGAAATAAACAAACAAAAATCCTGGTATAGCAATAGTTATAACTGACAAAATAGAATTCAAAACAAAGACCATAAAAGAGAAAAAAAAAGGTAACTACCTAATACTAAAGGGATCTATGCAATATGAGGAAATAAACCTTGAAAAAATATGCATCAAATATAGGAACACCTAAATATATATATAAAAAAAAAACTTTTAGTGGACTTCAAGGGAGAGATTGGCAGCAATAGTGTCATAATAGAGG